TGTGCAGACAGCGTCAGCCTCGTGCTGGACAGCTGTGGATGCTGTAAGGTTTGTGCCCGGCAGCTCTTTGAAGACTGCAGCAAGACACAGCCATGCGATGCCGCAAAGGGACTGGAGTGCAACTTCGGAGGGTCGGATAAGGGAGTCTGTCGAGGTACGCTGACTTCATTTCTCTTTTCTGATCTTTTTTGTTTTTCAACTGTCACCTTTTCCCTTTTCATCACATCAGCCTTTCCCTGCTTCTGTTTAACAGCCAAATTAAACGGGAGAACATGCGAGTACAACAGCAAGATTTATCAGAGTGGGGAAACCTTCCATCCTAACTGCAAACACCAGTGCACTTGCATCGACGGTGCAGTCGGATGTGTCTCCCTCTGCCCACGTGAATTCTCGCTGCCCTTGTTGGGCTGTGCCAAACTAAGACGGGTCAAGGTACCGGGAGGGTGCTGCGAACAACTAGTCTGCCCTGAGGAAACAGAGGCACAAAGCGCTATGATAAAAAAGCACAGAAGAAAGTTCAGCAAAGTCAAAACCACTGAAGACGACCTCTCCAAAAAGAACGAGTTCACCTCTGTGTGGGGAGAATCAAAGTCTCTGCCTGGTGAGCAGTCTTGATATTTATTGCATTTAAGTCTTGCTTGCTTTCATTATTTTAACCCACCTTTAACTTAAAAAATATCTGCTTAAAAACATCTGCACAGCTTTCAGGAGTTATTCAGTGGACCACATGTTTGCCAGAGGAGTCCAGTGCATGCCTCAAACCACAGCCTGGTCACCCTGCTCCAAATCCTGCGGCTCTGGTGTGTCCACGAGGCTGACCAACCGCAACAAACAGTGCAAACTGGTGAAAGAAACTCGGATCTGTGAAATCCGTCCCTGCAAACAGTTGACCTCGAAGGTACACCATATGCTGATGAACATATACAGTGATTATTTCATTAGAGGCTGAGAACCCATCCATGTTAAGACTAAAGCCTAGATACATTCTCTCTTGCAGAAAGGTCAAAAATGCAGTCACAGAGGAAAAGCGAGCCATCCAGTTCACTTGTCATACGCAGGTTGTCGTAGCCTGAAAAAGTTGCAGCGCAGGTACTGTGGATCCTGCTCAGACGGACAATGCTGCAGGCCACACAGGACCCGGACAATGCCTCTCCATTTTCGGTGCAAAAACGGAGAGACCTTCAGGAGGATGGTGATGACGATCGAATCGTGCAAGTGTAATCTCAACTGCTCCAACAACGGTAAAAAGACACCTGAGCTCTACAGCCCTCTCGATGACATCCACAAACTGAAAATTTAACCGAAAGACTTGATTTAAGCGCAAGAAGACTTCTGCTTCATATTATTGGAGCCTTGTGGTTTGCTTCTTTGTGAAGCTGCTTTTAAATGGTGAATTCTGCATTTTAAAAAATGTTTTTCCTGCTTATTCTTTGTACATACTTAATAATATTTAAGCCTCTAATGACAAAACATGTTAAATCGCAGTGTGGAAAGTTATGGCAGCTGCTAAATGTGTCGTCACGCGGTGGCTGTTTCTTTTGATTCACTGCACTCGTGTTATTTAAAGGGTTATGTTTCATACTTTTTTTTCATTTTAATGCAAAGTTCATGTTAAGCATGGAAAACTGTACTTTTGGTTTACTGTCCTGGTCTCTGTAATTGGTTGTCAATGCAAAACAGAAATATGATTGAAGCCTGGACACACAGACTGTTAATTTCATGGTTAGCAGATTATAATCTCCAATAAATTCAAGGAAAACCAATTCAGTTCCCCACTATCTTACTTAAGAGTTTGTCTTGAGAAAAACTGGAAATTCTCAGGGGGTCTTTGCTGCAACGATTTTCAGTCTCTTTAGCATCTGGCTGACCTACTTCTGAGAGGACCTACATGTCACTGAATAGTTTTGGGAATGTCTGTAATGTAAACTTCTCAGCAGTTTGCCTGGTGCTGCACAGATGCTGGGCACAAGTTGCAGATTTTTGCTTTCTGGCAGTGGTATAGGCTTACACCGATAATCTAAACCCTCCACTGCGATTTACGATACGCAGAATAGAAGGGAAATATGACTGTGAATTGCACGGCCGTGGCTGTTGTTGCTCTTGTGTCCTCTTCAGTATTTCTGTCAAAGGTGGGCTCTTCTGTGCCATCACTTGGCTCTGTCGCAATCAATCACTCTGTCTCTGCTGCTGATTAGAGAGATGCTGGTCCTGTCCAGCATTCACTAGATGCACCTGGTTAAGGTCTCATTGAAGACTGCTGTTTGTGATGCACACACTAAGATGTGTTCTGCTGATTCGGTTTTAGGGCTATGAGCAGATAATAAGAAGCAGTGATGATGTTTTTGAGGTGCTTGTGTATGCCTGGGGTTGTGCACACATCAGCCATTTCTTTTGTTTAGCTACATTAGGGAAAAGGGTGTTGCTGCTCTGCTCTTTGTTTTGGGCAGGGAGTTATTTTCTTTTGAACTTTAATAATCTCTTGAACTCTATAAATCTCCCGTCTGTTTTTTTAAATTTTCTTTGATTTGCCAACCCCTATTTATCCATGCAGCTTGCCTCTTTTGTAATTCATAAATCTTGCGTTTGGCTGTCTGGTTGAATGGCACTTTCCACCACCCCTGAGCTGAGCTGGGACATAACTACTAACCCAACCAACAGGTTTACGCAGAGCTGCAAGGGTTTATGCGTCAGGGCTATCAAAGTTGTTGAGCCTAACAAGCACATAAGCACAGGGTGTGCCCATCTCAGCGCTGAAATGCCGAAAGTCAGATGTAAGCAGAAAGCAGCAGAAAAAAGCTAATTCCCAAAGTGATCGACAGAATTACGTAAACAGGCAAGACCACAAGAGCAAAGGAAAAAAACAGAAGTACTGACGCACGCAGCCATGAAATCGTTCCATCCCCCGAAGGAGAGCACAATAGAGCTTTGTCTCTGAGAACTTGAGAGGAGGCCTGCTCACTCGAGGGAATACGTCCGATGCAGGAACACATCAGTCTTTCAGAGGTCTGGACTCACAGTAGTTTATTACCATAGATACAGCAGGGAAGCACAAGCAACAGTGAGAGAACAAAAGAAATAAACACAGTACATTTATGGCTCAGTTTTTCGGTAAATCTCGGTAAGTCACGCTGCAACTGATACCGGAGCTCTTCTGTTTGCCTCCAGGCCAGATTAATATAAGATTTTTATTAGACAAACCAACAACAGAGATAGAAGTGGGCAGTTACATTTGCAACCTAAAGGCATGGACTTCACAGCTAATGGCCACACATAATTATTCTCAGTCCAGCTGAGAATCCTAATATAAAACACAACCAGTGCACACCACACCTTTGCTATGTCCACTACCAACAAACAAACAAACGCCTGTTTCCAGCACCGGGACGATGACAGGGAAATTAAAAGTAAAGACGCTGAATTTTGAATCAGCTTCACTAGTCAGAGCAGAAGATTTATTATGGGTGATGGGCAAAGTCACAGCTGGAAATATGGATTCATTCTATCGCAGGTAAACACAGCTGGGACAAAATGTGACCAAACAAAAAGTCATTTGCAATTAAAATTAGATTTTTTTTTTTTTTGTGAATCCAAAAGTTTTGCTTTCTGCTGAACTGACGATGGGAATGACGGCGTGGAAGCTTCCATAGTTATCAGCGTTATAGGATCAAGCCCGTGGAGAAGATGGAGCAGAAATCTGTTTCTAAATGTATGAATTGCTTATTGCATATTGATAGCAAGAATGTTATATTTGAATTGGGATTTATATTATTCTGGCAACCTTTAGGGGCTAATTTATAATTTTGCCAATTATCAGATATCGCAACCCTGTCAGAATGTGCAAGTTTAAGTGAAGAGGCCATAGTGTTACACGAGGGTGGCACTTATTTCAGGTACTACACACAGCGTGCTACGTCTTTAATATGGCAGAGTGTAGATAGCCATTACTGGCAGCTGGGAAACCCTTCCACCAGTGATGCACTGTGCTGTGCACCACATTTGCATGTTTTCAGTTCACTCTGAATTCATTCAATTCATAAATTCACATTTTAATCACACATGTATCTGACTTACAATCAAACATTATTTGAGTGGAGTGCCTGCTGCTTTACTTGCACATGTGCTTTCTCATCGCACACGTGCACTGTTTGAATGCATTATAAAGACACAAAGGTTACTGAAAAGGATGTAAGCACCAATAAAATGTTTCGTTTTCAAGCACCACTTGCATTGGCCAACAACTGCTGTCATAATTTCGTTGGTGTTCAGTTGCAGGCTGTGGAAAAAAGTTGTTCAGCTGTAGCCACTTGCATAAGACAGATCAAGTACATACTGCATTGTGCCTAAAATAACCTGACTGCTAGTCCTTCTAGCAATTTCGTGTTACCCTGCTGGAAAGTCCTTTTGTTTTGTTTTTTATAAATGAATCTATTAAAATTTATAAAATAATAGAAATTGAAAAGAGGTTTCCTGCAGTCCAGTGAAGTCTTTGCTATCTTACATTCACACTTCAAATGTGTAATATTTATGCAACAGTACTATTAGGTGTTACTCAACTCAGAGTTTGGCCAATCTTATGTAACAGTTATGCAACAAGCTCCTTGTCATACGGACAGAATAGCACCAAAATATCATAGTTCAAGATGTACAAACATCTGAAAACATTACTGTATTTTAAAAAAACAGCAGCAGATTACTTGATTCCTGGAAATGCAGTTCAAAAATCTGAATGTACAAGTAGAAACTGATCAAACCAATTAAAAATCAGGCTTTAGTTACCCCCATGTTGCCCTTTTAAACAGACCCAATAAATATCAGAGTGCAAAACAAATCAGGATTTAAAATGCAAACCTCCATCATTTCAGAAAATAAGATGTTGATGTTTGCAGTCCTTCATCAAACATGGCCTTATAAGAGTTTTTGAGGAAATCGACATAATTCTGAATGCTTCGCTTGTGGCTCTCTGATTGGTCCAGGCTAAGCTGCAGGTCCTTCAGACGTACCTCATACTGCTTCTCTGCCTGCAGATTGAGAGACACACAGACAGATAATACAGCTCAGCGCTGCCTTCCAAGAAATGTTCCATCTAATGTGAGTGCGTCTTCTCTATGGCCCTTACGTTGAGCTTGCTCTGGCGAAGAAGCCTCAGCTCGCTTTCCCTTCTGCTCTTCTCGGCTCCCAGCTCCAGGATTTTGGTTTGAAGAGCCTCTTCCCTGGAAACAGCCTCTTCTTTCACCTTAGTGACCTACACGGGGTGAAAATGTGAAATATCATTATGTGATGCGCCATTTTCTGCACGATAAATCTCTCTTTGACACCAAACTGGAGTAACACAAGTTGTTTTATACAGATACATGCATATCTAGCTTTGCCTGTTTACTATGTAGCTCCAGCTGGATTACTTACGGCATGGCTTCAAACAAATCTCGACTGAACTGTTAGGTTGTAATGTCTTACTTGATGATCTGAGTGAAGAACAGGTGCTGAACTGTTGGTCAGCACTCCAACAGCTAACCTGTACCTGTTGTCTGACGTCCGCTAAAGCTGCCTCCAGCTGTCGGCTGACGGCCTGACACTCTGATGAGCGCTGATCCAGCTGCCGGTTGCTGTAGCTGAGAGCTTCCTCCTGAGCTGCGAGCCTCCGTACCAGCTCCAGGTTCTCTTGCTGCAGTTTGTCTGTCTCTCTACACACACACACACACACACACACACGCACACACACACACACGCGCACACACACACACACATAGAGTAAGCATCAATTTCTATACTGATAATATGAGCAGGTTTTTGATATTTGAGGTCTTACTTTTGGATAGAAATCAGTTTTTCTTGTAATTGTAAGTTGGCCTCATGAATGGACTCCCTCATCTCTGCAGATGATCTCAGCAGTTTGCTTTGACTCTCCATCTGCGTTTGCAAAACATAAAATTCAGAGTTGTCTCCACGGGCTACAAGTAAATCGTGCAGAAAACATTTAATCACACCACGTGCACAAATGCTACTTTAAAACAACAACTACCTCCACGATCTGCTGAACATTTATCAGCCTCAAATCGAGCAGATTCGAGATAAAAACTCAGTATTTCTGACGGAAACACGTGGTCGTCTGGTTCTACCAGAGATCACACTGGGGAGCACAAAAGACTCGCTAGTGGGCTCAACCTAAACATTGCACAGCAATCACAAACATCGAAACTCACAGCAATATTAGAAACCACAATGCACCAGCGGTCACCTGAGGCTATACTGCCACCCAGTGGTCAAAAAATAGGAAAATGACTGCATTTTACATTGACCACAGCAGCTGGCTTTGCACACCTTAACCTGCAGTTGCCTAATGGACTCTGACTTTTCTGAGCACTTCCTCTCCAAGCGCTGCAGGTTTTCCTGGCACTCAAAGAGACTCTGCTCAGCTGCATTCAGTAACTCGGGGTAAGCGTTCAGTTCCTCCACGCGCCCCTGCAGCTCCTGCCTCACCTGGGCTCCAGAGGAGGAACGGCACAAAAAAAAAAAAAAGAGTTGGGTTTCGGGAAATGAAACATAGTAATATGCTTTAAAACTCAGCACACCTCTCCAAGAGATGCTCACGGATGTACATGATTCATTCAGCTGTGGTTATGCAGTTGAAAAAAGAAAACTAAGTGCACAATGACTGTCCATTAAACAGCAGGTGAAACAGAGCTGGACAGACTTGTAATGGGCTGTTAGAATGAGTTTTTAGCTTAACAGAAACTGTGCATGTAACGTAAATAAAATAAGGCAAATTAAAGAGAAGGGCGGTGGTACCTTCTCAACTTCTGCCTCTTTTCCATCTTGTGTCTTCTCTGTTTCTCTTAAAAGATTTGTATATTTTATCTTTAGATCATGGAGCTCAGCTTGAAGTTGTGCAACCTGGAGGTGAAAAAAATACAGAACATTAACATGAAACCTGCTGTGGCCTTCCCTGTCATTAAAAACTAGTGTCATTCATTCAGTGGCTTCTACAGACCACATTCTGTATCTGTAAATAATAGGTTTCTTGTAATCCTGTTTGGAAACTACTTTATCCTAACTGTGTCAGGAAAAAAATGACCTTCAAACATGATAGAAAGATAGAAAAATACTAAAACAAAAACAAGAACTGAAAGGTTAATATTTGAAATTAATAGATGAGAAGTAAAAGGTTTGAAAGATTTAAGAACATAAAACACTCTTTGTTGTGTGTCAGTGTTTATTCAGAAATGATCTTTAAGAGGATCAAATATGATGAAAGAGTGCCTTTTTTTTTTCAACATTGCACATTTTTTGATGTTTGTTGACTCCAGAGTAAAGTAGTGGGTCTATAAAAATAACAGTCATTTACAAACATGATTAAAAGTTTCCCTGCAGAGAACAAGGGATGGTCTAGGTCTGGTTTGTCACTGCTGGAAAAAAAAAATACTTTGATACGTTTGATTTTTGAGGCTCTGCCTGCACAAAAAAAGGAAGAGGGCAGCAAACCAGATGCTCAATTCCTTGCTGTGAATTCACTGGACAGTCACCTGTACTAATCTTGCGTGCATCGGACATCTCACGGGCACAGCGCTGCGGAGCTGACCCACTGTCACTGGGTGATGTCTGGAATATTTCAGGGCTGCAGCACACGAGAAAGTAAAAGGTTTTAAATCAAAATACCAACCTGATAACGGCACTGTTCAGCTTGGTGCTTCTTCTCCTGTGAGACGATCTTCTCCTCTACGAGGGCAGACTCGTACTCAGCGAGCTGCTGCTCCAGCTGAGCTACAGATTCCTGGGATAGCAGAGAAATCCAAACAGTTTTAGTAAAATAAGGTCCTCCTAACTCCTAAATATGGAAACCGGACTTCTTGCAACATGTCTGTGCTTTTTGCCTTTCACAGTAATGACTCTCACATACAAGCTGTTCAGTAACTTGTACCTTGAGTGTTGCATTATTTATGCCGAGTTCTCCGTTGTCTGAGCTGAGTTTTTCGAGCCTTTGCATCAGAGTTTCATTTGCTGCAGTTAGCTCGTCCTTCTCCTTCTGCACTCTCATTGTCAAGTCTGCAGTTTGGCTTTAATGGAAACAGACACTTACAGTTAATGCATCATCTGAATATTGATGTACTCAGAAATGACAAATGGCTGGGAAGGAGAACCAACCAACCTTTTCAATAAGTCTATATGAGCAACGAGTTTGTCTTTCTCATCTGTCGTCTGCTCCTTCTGTCCTCTCCTTGAGTCTCTCTCTGAATGGGCTTTGGCCAGCTGAGCATCCTGTTTGCCAAACAAGACAAACAAAGATCAAACGGGATCCTCAACTGCTTCTGAAGCCAAAATAATGAACCAATTTGACCTCGTACCTTTTCCCTCAGCTGTGCGTAGCATTTCTCAATAGCAGCTTCAAATCTCTCCGCTCTCAGTTTCTGAGCTCGGGTGGCTTTCTTCAGAGATTCTTTGTCCTGTGCTGCTTTCGCAGACAGAGAGGTGATAGACCCCTTCAGATCATCAATCTCCAGCTTCTGCTCGGTTATGAGTCTCTCCAGAGCCTGCAAAGACCATGAACCCACAAGTGTGCAGTTTTAATTTATACATTAATAAAGCAGTTTAGTCTACAGCGCAGCCAGCTGATAAAGGTGTCTGTACCCGTAATTGTACAGTAAGGCGATTGTTTTCAGCTTCCTTGTTGCGTAGCTGTCCCTGTAGGTGAGCACGTGTTGCCTCTGCTGACTTGGTCATGTGAACTGCACTCTTTACGTTCTCCTGTTGAAGCCAGCGTAAACATATAATTTCATGGGCAATGACTTAATTCATCCGCAAATGATCTCTGCTGTACTTACCTGCTCTTTTCTCCACAGATCTATCAGCTCCCTGACCTTCTGTTCACTCTCACTCAAATCTTTCTTTAAATTCTGCGAGAAAAAACATGGAAACCAATGCATATTATCACATCACCATATCTTCACTTTAGGTGCATTAAAATCGCTTTTGTAAAGTTAACACCTTTAGAGTATGTCCTGTGACATCAGAACCAATGTGGCTGTGCTCTCACTAGTTTAATCACCAAAGGCTGCCCCTTTGCCCCAGCCCCTTCCTCCAGCTCATCTGGGGGAACACCAAGGCATTCTCAGGCTGAGAGATATAATCTCCAGCGTGTCAAGGGTCCACCCTAGGGCCTTCTCCTGGTAGGACATGCCTGAAACACCTCACTGAGGAGGCATCCAGATGCCCAAACCACTTCAACTGGCTCCTTTTGATATTAAGGAGTAGTGGCTCTACTCTGAACACCTCCCAAATGCCCAAGCTCTTCACCCTATTTATAAAGGAGAGCCCAACCATGCTTGGAGAAAGCCCATTTCGGCTATTTTTATCTGTGATCTCTTTCTTTCAGTCACTTCCTAGAGCTGAGTCACACTCAAAGGTAATAAAACAGTTGAGCTGATACTGAAAACTATATTTCTACTTCTGTTCCCCAGAAAAATTTAATCAGTGAGGGAATCTATAAAGAATTTGATCACAGGCGGAGACAATGGAATTTGAATAAATGAAATATTATTAATAATCCATCTATCTAACCGCTATAACTTATCCTTTATCACTTTGTTTCACTGACTAAATCTTCACAAGCTAATCACAAAGCTTAGTTCCCTTACACTTCCTTCTTTTGTGCCAATGCATAGGTGTAATAAAACACTCACCTCATTTTCACTCTCAGCCTGCATGATCTTCTTCAGGAGCGTGTCAATCTGCTGGTCTGCATCAATTCGATTTGCCTTTGCGGAATTATTTAAAGCAAGGACATAAATAAACACATTTTCAGACTAAATACAGTTGACTTATACGGTGTAGTAGCAGTTTAACAAACCTCTGCCTCTTGGAGCTGTTTCAGTTTCTGTCGCACTGACTTATTAATTCGTCTAAAGGCCTCTAGCTTTTCCAGCAGAAGCCCACGCTGTCTTGCAATTCGGCGTTTATCTTTGGCAGACTGTCTTGAATCCTTAATTGACATTTTAAAAAAAGAAAATTAGAGAAAATGCAGGACAGCAGTTGCAAAAACATATGTTTAATGTAGGAAACCCTTTGGCTTTACACAAAGCTAGCTTTATCCAAAATTGCTGCAGACCTACAGCATACTCATCGTCCATGGCGTCTTTAAACGACACTAGCTGGATTGCTGCAGAATTGGCAGCTGCTTCTGCATCCATTAGCATTTTCAGGAAAGGATTCTTTTTATTGCCAAAATCTCTGAGACTAAAATAAAAAGGAAAGCAAGAAAACACTTTGAATCAGTAAAGTTGTGGTAGGTGGCAAGTGCATATTCAAATGCATCATCCTTGTAGGACCTCACCAGCTGATCTCACACTCTGGGGTTCCTGTATGGAGACTGCTGTGTGCCCTGGTCCTACCAACAGGCTCATGACTGTTGTCTAGGTCGCCACGACTCAGAGTGAAATCCTCCCTGGTACCGCTGAAACCAAGGGGGGGACTTCGAAGGTCATCCTCTGGAGACATGCCTCTTACTGTCAACAGATGTGCATATAATATGCTCAAATGATATGTGCAAATATACTATGCGCAAAAACCGGCTATGCATGGGAAATACAGAGTTACACAGGCAAACCTCCAAGTGGCATCCCTGGGTGAAACCAAGGAAAGCGTGTAGTCCTTCATATGACTACTGGACTGTGGGGTCACAATATCATGTGTGACAATTTCTTTAGCATCTATGATCTGGGGCAATACCTTCTCAGGAGGAAACTTACCATGGTGGACAAAATAAAATAAAATAATACAACTTTACTTTACTATAACGTTACTATAGTTAATAATATTAAAATAATAATAATAATAATAATAATCAGAAGAAATGTATTTTAGACATTTTGTTGTAATACTTCTCAGTAATAGTTAGGTAATAGAACCACAACCTTTTATTTCTTTATAAAAATTCTCTTAAGGTTCAGTTTATCGGGGTTTTTTTTAGAATGAAAAGAAGCGATATGCTGTAATTGATCATTTTAATTCATAAAAAAGCCTAACAATGTAACCCATTGGTTACAAACAAACTGGATGATAAACCGCTGTTTTGAGGGTATTTTCTGGGTTATTTAGAACACTGGTCAAAGGCGACCCTTCAACATAAGAGATAGTTACAGACAGCTAACTCAAGAGGAAGGTTAAAAGTCCTGCTTGGACATGAGAAAGCCAATCGCCAAGGAAGCTACTTCTTAGCAACAGACAAGGTTAAGTGGCTGTTAAGCTTTAAGGAACTCTAAGCGTAGCAAGCACTTTAGTAATTATACCAAGTAAATCGCCATTCAAGTCTAGCGTGTTTAATAACGCCTAAACCAAGTAACCACTTACAAAAGCATGCCTGAAAATTTAAACAACACTTACTCCTTCGCCTTGTACCTCTTGTAAATAACGCTCCTCCACTCTGGGGAGTCGCCTCTTGGAAAGTCTCACTCGATTGGTTAGATGTGAGGCAGCGTAACGACGTCAACTGACTATCTTTTTGTTGATTCGTTCCCTAAGGGTTGAATGGGCGGGGCCAAATTTGATTAGACCCGTAAACAGCCAATGAACAAGAGAAAGCAGTGAGCCTGGTTGAAACCATAGAAACGGAAAAGAAGTTTACTGTCGCGATTGCTGGTACGCCATCCTCGGGAAGTATCGAAGATCATTTAAAGAGATATATATTATTAAGTAAAGGTAAAAATATAGTATGACGTGGTTTAGATATGTACGCAGCTAAGTTTGGCTGATTTACATTTATCTTGCTGTTGCGATACTGCTTCGCTATCCCGGAATTTTGTAAAGATAAGTTAGCTGAAAAGCTAATGCTAACCAGCGTCAGTTGAGTGGAAATGTTCAAAGCTAAAATACTCTTTGTTGGTCCCAATGAGGTGAGTAAATTCTCATTTGACTGTACACCGGTCGCTATTTTACCTTTCAGATTCCAGCAGGTAGCGAAAAGCGTCAACAGTGAAATTTGCCTTTTCTAATATTACCAGAGAAAGCACTGGACTTAAGTATTCATACCCTTCCCCGTTACATTTACGGTCCGAGTTTATTTGTCACTACTCAACAAAGTAATGTATAAATTCAGTCGTAACGAAGGGAAAAGGAGTGATAAGTACTATGCAAAAGTCTCGAGCCACCCCTCATGTTTTTGTTTATATTTTGATAGGTAAATGGGTGCAGAGATTTATTGAAAAATGTGCAAACATAGATTGAAACACAGTATATTAAATTAAAAACTGAGTTTGTAACATTATAACAAGTTTGGAAGTCGATATTTGGTATGATCAACTTTCAACGAAAGTCTGAACTCTTTGAGACACGCTTTCGTGTAATTTCTTTAAGTACTTTCAGGAATATTTCTCTACGGTTTTTGAAGGACATTCAAACCCATTCTTTAGATGGTGGCCGACTTTTTTCTGTTCTGTTGAGAACTG